AAAACTTATATTCTGCATAAAAAGGAGATCGTGGTTGGATGGGGGCTAAACGTGATAAGGAGGGACAAAGAAACCCACAACACAAAAGCAAGTGAGGTCCGTTTCTAGCCATATCAAGAAGTGCATCCCGCAGACATGTTCACTGACTGTCGTGCCCCAACCAGGAAGTCGAGGGACTACGGCCGCAGCCAACTTCAAACTAAGGGCGTTCATTCCCCATAATCAAATCATCGATTGTCCTTCCTACCTCTTCCTCCATCCACACACCTGGAGCGAAGAATACGGAAGTCGCGGGAGTCCGCGTGCTGGCATGGGCAACACTTGGCCCTGCCGTAGGAGCATGGTGCGTGAAATAACGGTGCTGTGTGATTCCCTTCCTATTCCTGTGACATAAACAAGGCGTAGAACACGCTCATTGCTCACCGTGTTTCCACCAGATATGAGCCAAACTGCGAAGGCACCGGTGGTAGAAGGCAACTAGACTGTTTACTACTATCGATGCAATGGGAAGATTTCGCAACCGTACAGTAGGGTCGAATGTACGGCTGCAATGGAAACTACCCTTTAGGGAGAGAGTGATGTCGCGTTGATGACATAGGCGGTGAATGTTATCAAAAGCGCCTCAAACCTTCCTATACGGATCGTGATCTCGTCTTCAATTCCACCGGCGCAGATACAACTATCTAGGCAGGTGAATTTCTGTACAAGTTCTAGATGATCCCCACCAAGGGTCAGCGCGACTTCCACGACATCGTCAATAGCAAAGCTGAAGAATAAAGGTGACAGTGGGCATCACTGTCTTACACCGCTGGAGATATCGAAGGGTGGCGACAGCTTGCCGTAAGCCCTCACTCTGCCCGAGCTACGCACGTAAAGTACCCTGATAATGTTTACGTATCCCTCGGCACACGTTTTCTGAGCAGAAAGTATAAAAGGGTACATAGATCAACGAATCGAATGCACCTCTAATGTCGATGAACCCGACAGTGGTGGGCCCACAATATATGTGACGGTGCTCCAACGATTGACAAAGAGTAAAGATGAGATCGGTGCACCCGCGACCTCGATGAAACCCGGCTTGCTCCTCAGGAATCTAGCTGTCACGAGTGCAAACCAGCTTGTAAAGGATAACAGAGGCAAGCAATTTGGAGGCAATGCAGAGCAGATTGATTTCTCTATGTTTGTCGAATTCCGAACGTGAGCCTCTTTCGAAGATTGGACTATAACGGAGTGGCTTCAGTCGGTTGGGACAGTTTCGTGTTTCCACAGATTCACTAGTAACTCGTGCAAATCAGCCACAAGAGCAGATCCTCTGAATTTGAAGAGTGCTTGGTGAAGATCATCTACTCCAGCGGTCTTATTGAAGTTCAGCAATCCGATCTCACGTTCGACTTCTGAGCGAGAGAGCGGATGCAAAGGGATAGCCCAGGAAACAAGTTGATCAATAGCCGGTGAGAGATCTTACAATTCCGGCCGATTAAATTGCCTTCTAAGCGCTAAGACTAACGCTCCAAGTGTTTTGACAAGCTGAAAAGAGCTATCTACTCTCGTCACGCATGGCTTCAATAACACCAGATCACTTGTTGCTCGTTTAACTTAGCAAACGGAATAACTTCCGATGGTTACCAAGAACAGCAGCCATTACAATTTCCGACGCACGATGAGGTCAACAGGATTCGCGGTCTCTCTTCAGGATAGCACTCAATTTTGCCTGATGTCCGTGCGAGTCCCGTTGTGTTCGCCTCCAGCCGGAATGCGCCGGCGAGCATTGATAAGCAACAGAGACCGCGTAAAGACCCAATGTTCATGTTGACTATTAGATTTACCATGTGAGGATTTGCTTTCCAATACTATGCTCTGGTAAACATGTGAACAGTGACCTACAACTGTATTCAATAAGAGATTAGTCAACTCGAATGCCAGTATACTTCGATACGCATTCAGAACGTATGTCTTTGCTAAAGGACTGGTGTCAATGCGCTCACAGCGTCGTCGTGGGTGTCCACCAAAATGCTCCCGCAGATCAGTACACAAGTGCATGATCAGTAGCCACATATGTGCTCCAAATCGAGCGACAGCCTCTTTAATAGTAACTGATCGCAATGTAATCGATTTGCGTATGTAACGGGTCCAAGACTGGTGGCGCCATATCACCCGCCGACCGGTGGTGTGTCGGAATTTAGTGTTCGCGAGAAACAGACAAGCATCGTCACACAAATGAAGTAACCTCCTACAGTTATCAGTAGGGGAGCGTATGCCATGTTGGTCGCCCACATGCAGCTCATCAGTGGACAATTTTCCAACTTGAGCGTTCAAATTCCTAATCAGCACTACAGTGTTCGTTATTCTAAAGTGGCGAAGGCGCCCATTCAGTCGACGATAAAAGTCGCCTTTTATCGAGTCAGCGCTACAGTTTGTGGGTGCATAGATAGCGGCGACAGACACCTATTAGCCCCTAGCGACTTCGAAGCTCTGAACTAGCCAGCCAGTTGGACCGCACACATCTGGCTACTGGTTAGGATTCAATTAAACAGAGCAGCTTCAATCCGGGGATACGGAGCAATACACACACCGGCTTGGTTGGCACTCAAAGCTGAATCGTCTCCAGATAGGTGCAATGAGAAATCAGTGGTGGCGTCATCTGAAGCGGACCGCAGAGTGAGCCCAGAGTTCGAGTCTTACAGGCGAGCTTCCGATAAGCAGCAGACATCGATCGACGGGATCTCTACTGTTCGGGCAAATGTTGCCTGTTGTCCGAACTGTAACAATGTGCGTACGTTGAGGTATGCCAATCTGAGAAAGGACCGAGGGCCCCTAATAGAAGCCGATGAATTAGGCTTGTCGACAGATCAGGAGTGGCAGTCCGCCTTTACATGTGAGTTGAAAGTAAGAAAGATAAACGCCTATCAAAGAAATGTGGATGTTCAAAACGAGGTGAGAAAAGTGAAGTTGTAACGGGACGGTAAGAATGAGGGAATAATAAGGTTGGAAGGCTTGCGCGGTAGCATCCAAACACCTGTCCAACCGGCTCGATGCAGCACATAAGGCACCGTTATTCTCTGCGAAGACCAGAGCATCAAGGAATTTTTAGAAGAGAAACTCTAGGTATTGTGTGGGAAGCTTATTTTCACGTTGCTCAGGCCAAGACAGAACGATTAGGGTTCTCAAAAAAAAGCTTTTAGTTTAAAAACCTAACCGCAAGGCAGTGGGTTTGGGCACCGGGTTACAGAGTAAGGACCCACTCGCGATGCAACCCATACCTAAAGTTTGTCTAGCCTCTAACCCATCTGGTATGAGTGACTCTGATGGTGTGAGAAGCACTACACAGCACAGCGCAATGGATCGCTGCGGCACACAAAGCATTGCACTAAGTTAAAGCACGGTCTATTGCAATGATGCAACGTATCACAATAGTCCCTATCATAGGGGGGTATTTGAGTCAGCTGCGCTTTCGATGCAGTCGGTTTGCTAATGTTGCGTCTTGCTGACGAAAACAAGATGAGATCAGTAAAATGATATGGTAAAAGAACGTAACCCCCGGAGAAGGCTTAGTCGAGTTGCTAATTGTCAGCTTGCCAGGTGGATCTTTTCGGGATCGGCCACAGCTGGGTACACAACCAGAAATGACGCAGACACGAAGTGAGTGGCGCTGTTGCATTCGTACCCTCACTTCGCGTTGCGCAATGCCATGTGTCTAAATGAATTCTCATTCATTTACCTTTGGTAAGGTGCTGAGTTATCTGCGGGGTAATGGCTGATTATGACGCGGGGCAGTGAAAGCCGCAAGGAAGCGGTCTCGCCGATACCGCCTTATCTTGGCACGATAGCCAGCTGTTTGTGACGTTATGTTGTCAACACAAGGACTAGGCGCCTTGATCCTGAATGTTTGCTTAGGGGACTGAGGTTTTCAGGTAAGTCCCCATTCGCTCCCTCTTATTATCCTATATTCCATAGGCCCTCATGGTTGTATGGCAGCGAAGCATCAGTTCAAATGGCTGATGTACTGCTTTTGATGATGATGATGATGATCATGATGATGGTAAGGTAAATCAATGTAAATGGATCTACCGAAATTTCTGAGCACGAATCACAGTTGAGAAGCAGAGAAAACGTAACCGATGAAGAACAGTACGTATTCCAACCATGAACAACAGTGGGATGGATGCATGGGAAACCTGGTCGAAATACACAGCGAAGTGTAATTAACGACCTTAGATTGGAAGCGATCGCGCGCCATTTCGCGCTGAAGGCGGCGCAATTGGAACTAACACAGAAAAATGGAGGGAAAATTAAAATGGACCAGGTGGTACACATACGGCAAATGAACAGTATCTTGTCAGAGATAAGGGCAAAGATACACGGGCGTACAGATCTGATGTATACGAGTAATTGCAAAGACAAATTTTACCGTGTAGCTGTGAAAAAATGTGCCACTGCAATCAACATCGAACAAATTGTCGTGGGTAGACGCTGGTAGAGTTGCTCAGATTTCTATCACGCCTTAATTAGATGTTATCGAGTCATTTCCACATCAGTGGTCTGGGTACTTTGATTGGAAATGAAGGTCGTGTAATGTGCAATTGAATGGTGATTCTAAAGTACTCGTTGTGTGATTGGACTGTGATGCGCAATCTCAATGTAGAGCGGGGTTCGCATTGAAGGGAACCATGGTCATTTCGATCACTAGAACCACAGCTAAGGTAGATAGATGTGGTGGTGAAGGTGAATGAAAACTCAACAGTACACGGCGCAAACTAAAGTTCAAAGAATGATTACCCCTCGAAAGATGTAAAACAATAATGGAAGGATGCCATAGCAATACCATGTGTAGATGAGGAACGCTACCTCATATCGACCAATCTCGCATGCAACCGTTTGTAAATGCGAGGCAGCTAAGCGCCGGTACCAGGTAAAGGGGTATGGTTGAACCTTGTTTTTACAAAGAAAGCGAATGTGGGCTGCTAAAAAAACAATCTTTTCACAAAATGATGCAATATTACCTCACAGGTCTCCAGCTGCAATTTGCGACGCTCCTTTTCCAGATCCTCAATCATTTCCGCAGTGAATGCCTCCGGCGTAAAAATGCCGGTTTCTTTCATTAGTTGCACCTTTTCTTTGCGCAACTTGTCACTAGAATCAAGAGAAAAGGTTACCGCACAACCAGAGAACACGTGGAATGAAACTCGGTGCGACGATGTCGCATAGAGCAAGCAATAGAGAAATTCAATCAATAAAGACTCAATGATTGACGGTGGCAAATGCGTCGCAGATGCGTAAGCGGAGAGTACCAAATCAACGCCAAGAAGTAGGACTCGATGTAACCGCAGCTCCTAAAGTAAACACTCGGATGGCATCCACGAACGGAAGCGTTGTGAAGAGCACAAACACACTGTCAGATAACACATCATCGCCCACGAGACCATAAGATGTGGCAGCAAATATAGAAAACCATTCATGGGGCCATAACAGTAATGAAAAAGGGATGAGTCACAAGGAGGAATCGCGAGAATATCTGACATATCTCACCAAATCTCAATTCCAACTCCCCACTCAGGCAAGCACTTCGTTGGATGCCTTGAGTAATGGATGCTGCAACCGATTTATGCTAAGGGATTGGATCACAGTCAAGGGTCAAATGGAATGGGCTGCGCTGATCTCCATAACAATGAAGTAGTAACTCCCTGTGAGTCGTGGATGGGTGAATAACAGAACTTTCGCCAGAATAGTGGAGCAGCCATCAAAGGAAGAATGGAGACAGAGTCAAATCGGAATCAAGAAAAGAGCTGTGCGGAATGAATCACCCCGTTAGCTCTGCAGTACGATATCACTAGGTAGCAGATGCGAGATTTGCAATAAGGTGTCTCTGGCATACTGGCTTGTCGACCGTCACCCTCGCTTTGTATCAGCGCGGTCAGTTAGGCCATACCGATGCGAATTCAATCAGGTATTTTGCGCCTGGAATATTGTCGATGAAATGTGTTTCATCCGTTCTGAGTAGGAATCAAAACGGCTAAAAGATTCACAGCGCAGCGAGCAAAGTAGGGAAAGATACACATTTTCTAGCCGGTAAGGTGATTCTGTAGTGTCACTGAGTACGACGCTCTCCTAGGCATATATGACAGGTAATAAAAAATTTAACTAAGTGGTACGTTTCAGATAGTAGTTTGAAGCAGTTTTCATCTGCCAGATGAAGTTAGACGTGGTTTCTTAGCGACGTTGTTTGAATCATAAAGCGTTAAATGCACAAGCCACCAGTTGCATAGAGAACCAACGCACGTGTAAGTCTCCTGTTGGTTAAACGTCAATGATCTGTGATCAAGCTGAAAATCAACTCATGAAGCAGTGATACTGTGCGGTGTCCGAAGCAACGTGAGAACCTATCAATCATCGAAAGGAGTTAAATTATTAAGTGAACGAATGTAGGTGCTGCACAATAGCTTAACTGTTTTCCACTTCTGTGTAACGTATAGAATGGATGAATGAATGAAGGATTTCGCCGCTTTCATTGACGAGATAGTGTGTAAGTTCCATAGCACAGGGAAGGACCAAGATTGACTCACTATTTCCATTCATATTCTCTCAATGCTTTCTCAAATGGTTTCTTTAGATCCGCTTTGGCATCTCCTTGCATGAAAGTTTCCAACGGAAAAACGAGTATACTATTCAAATTTTGCATCTGAATGGGAAACGTGATGGACACAACAAGTTAAGAAAGGCAAAGAGAAAACGAAGATCTACTGCAATAAATTCGTGTGCTCAGTTTATGGAGAAAACCTAAATGGATACAAATGAAATAAAAGGTGAAGGAAAAAGCCGAAACGAGCAGCCCTTTTAAATGGCTGGACATTGAATATAAGTGTTTAGCAGCATGTTATCATTGCCGAGAGAATAATACCAACACGCAGATCGGCCGCTAAAGTACACTGAATATCCAGGATAATGAACAAATAGATCGATCGCTGCATACCGCAGTGAGGAGTACCAACTAACAAGGGATTGTATTATCGGTTCCATTATAAAGATGGTAATGTTCCTTACTGACATGAAAAAGCAGATCTGGATTATTTGGGACTCAGAAAGAATCGATTGCGACAGCGTTCAGCAACCATCTCTTGGCGAGTGATCGCTGGTGCTGAAAGGATGAACGCGCTATTGAGTGTCTAATTCCCGGCTTTTAATGAAAGTGTTCGAGAATATACACAACCTAGTTAGTAAAACATGGATGTCAACTTAACTAGGTAGAAAATGACGAATGTAATTTAACGCTTCGTTGACTGCCCAAGTTCCTTCGGTTAAATGCAGTAGCAGGTGATAGCTTCCACAGCTCCCACTAAAAACTTGATTACAAAAGTTGCCCAGTAGAGACGGAGCAAGCAAACAAAGTTAAGCATTCTAAAGGAATGGTAGGCCAATGAGATAACAGATAGACGGTTACTAGCAGCGACTGTTGGTAAGGATAATAAGCACAAAGTAGCACAAAAATGATGAGGAGCTCGTCGAAACGATTAAAGGATAAAACAAGAGAGGGAAGAACAGAACCTGGCTTCCCTCTCACATTGCAGATGTGTTTGTTAAGTAAGAGAGATTCATACGTAGCACGATCCGATCGGTTATTCGGCTTTGTGAGAAACATGGTAGTAGTTGAAGGAATGGAATCCGTTGACGGCATCCGGTTTCGGATTAGTGCGTGCTGTGGCCCGCCACAGGATGCCTGCGGATACAGAGGGACTATGGGTGGCTTGCGCTGCACCACCCACACCTCCAACCACACACTCCATTTCCAGTGTAAACCCGAAGGAATAAGACCGGAAGGCATGTGGATGGGAGCTACGTTTCATCGACGGAGCCGGCCCACACTCCTTCACAGGCAAACACAAGCATGATGTATTTTGGAATCAAGCGCACACAAGGCGGTGGCTGGACCGTAGTGCGCTCCACACTGAGTGCATGGAACCACTCTTCGAGCCTAACACGACCACAAGGACCGTGCACCCCGTCCCCTCTAGCAACGACCAACTATCTCCTAGAGACAGTATGGACGAGGTAGTGGGTAATAGACAGGTAGGCACCTTGTAAATATAAACGTCAAGCGCAGCCACACCGGGGATGTCAAGCAGCAGCCATTCGCTCGAAATGACGATATCAAATCAAATAAATCAAATAAAGCATACGAATATGCCGACTTAACTCTTCAGCAAATTAGCATGTTAAATAAATGTGTTATTAACATATCCGCGATAAGTTTATGATGGCATAAAAAGAGGTCGACAACATACGCAAAAAATGGAAATAAAATGAACGAAATTAATTACATTTGGTTTAAGCTAGGTGTGCAAGAAAAGAAATGATCTAGATAGACATTAAAATGGGGTAACAAAGTATTGATACCATTATAACAAACCGATCACCTGAAACAAAGGAACTCAGCATGCAAGCACGCTGTTAGTAAACCGAATGCAGCGTACCTATCAACGTTGCGCCGGTTTTGCTTCTCAGCAGGACTCGTCGTCGTTTCGATGCTGCTCCTGAGTGGCCAACCCTCGTGGCTCATTAGTACTGCTTGACTCAGGCACTCGCGACCACATGCGCTGCAGCACCATGCGCATGAGGCTGATGAAGTACAACCCATCGGCTCCTGGCGCTTCCGCATCTGCCGTTTCTTCGCCGCATGCACGAGGGGTTTCTTTCGTATCTTTGCAACTGCCTACGTGATCAGGTTGCGCCATGCACGCCTTCGATTCCCATGATCTGCAACCAAAATTAGAACGGGATAGGCTCACTTTGATCATGTCCCGGTAAGGTTTCTTCGGTTTTCCCACGTGCCGTTTACCTGCACTCAGTTGGCCATAAAGCAGCTGTTTCGGTATCCGGGTCGAGTCCATGAGACGAATATGCCCGAGCTACCCCAGGTGCTTCAGCAGAATGATGCAGTCCACTGCATATATGCCACTGCATCGCAGCACCACCGCGTCTGCAACTCGGTCACTCCAGCCGATGCACATACTACGGTGCAGGCACTGCTGTTGGAAGTGTCCCAGATTGCGCACGTCCTTCTGATAAAGCGGCCAGGTTTCGCTGTCGTATAGAAGGACGGATAGCACCCCTGACTTATATGCCAGCAGCTTCGTCCCAACACTGAACTGGCAATTGTTACACACACGGCATTAAAACTTGCCAATAGCAGCAGCCGGCTTCGAAACGTGGCTGCGTAGCTCGCTCGTCATCAGCATGTCGACTGTTATTACGTTCCCAAGGTAGCAAAACCAATGAGTGGTTTCCAACACTTTGTTGGCAATCTGGACATGGGGCAGGTCCAAGGACTTCATTTCGAGTGAAGGCATCATTTCACTCACCAGGCTCCGATGGCTGGGCCACGTGTTGCGCATGCCAGCCCACCGACTCCCTCGACGTGCGTTGTTTGCTCACCGGGGATGTGGGTGGAAGAAGAGGAGAGGTGGCCAAGCGATGACTTGGTCCAGAGGAATGAAGGCCCTCACTTCGGAGCTGGCCTCAGTTGGAGCTTCACGGCTCCCTGGTTGGGGTCCAAAAGACGGTGAACACCTTTGGCTGGATAAACTTGCTGATATGGCAAGGAGCCGACCTCAGTGGCGTTCCTGTTGTGAGTTTCTTTGTCCCTCCCCATCCCTTTAGCCTCCCCCTCCACCTACGATCTTATAGCGTAAAACATAATAATTTTTCTGTTTGCCTAGTAGCCGGCTGGTAGCTTACCGGAACGATGCCTATCCGTTGCTGGTAGCTCAGCTGGCATTCAACTGTCGTATTTATTTTTCCGTTATGTATTGTATGTATGTATGTATTTCCTTTATGTATTGCGGTACAATAGCGGAGGTGTTTTACCATCTCTAGCTGACATGTATAATGATGATGATGATGATGAACCACTATATATATATATATATATATATATATATATATATATATATATATATATATATATATATATATATATATATATTGGTGAATGCCTTCACTCGAAATGAAGTCCTTGGACCTGCCCCGAATGGATTCAACGCGGACACCGAAACAACTCTTATACAGTCAGCTGAGTATTGGGAAGCGGCATGTGTAGAAACCAAAGTGACGTTATCAGGACATGATTAAAAAGAAGCCTCTCACGTTCTAACCTTGATTGCAGGACATGGGAAGCCAAGGCGGTTGATCGACGCGTATGGCGCGATCTAATGACGAAAGCAGTTGCCGAAGTGCGGGAGAAAGACCTCATGCATGCTAAGAAGAAGCTGCAAGTGCGGAAGCGGCAAGCACCGATGGGTTGTACTCCATCGACATCGAGCGCATGGTGCTGTAGCACATGCGGTCGCGAGTGCCTGAGTCAGGCAGGCCTAGTGAGCCATGAGCGAGGTCACTCGGGACAATTACTGAAGCGACGATGGGTCCTGCAGAGAACGTAGGCAAAACCGGCGCAGCGTTTGTAGGTACGCTGCATTCGATTTATTAACCGCGTGATTGCATGCTAAGTCTCTTTATTTCAGGTGATGGGTTTTGAATTTTGTCCGAATGCTTCCCTTTCTCATATAAATGCCTACCTATACTCTCTTCTACAAACTTGCACACGTTGCTTAAGCCGTGCAGTTAATTTAGATAACATTTCCATAACATTTCCGCAAAATATACTTTCCGACCTCGTGAACTTATCTCGGATTCGTCTGTAAACAACTTATTTCATATGCTCATTAATTTAAGATTTATGTCACCGTTTCCTTATGCATTACACGGTTTATTTTCTTTGTTATCTTTCTCTCAAGTGGTTGGCTATTGCTTGATATCCCCGGCGTCGATGCGCTTGATGTGCATATTTACAAGGTGCCTACCTCACTATTACTCAGTACCTCGTCCATACTGGCTCCAGGAGACAGTTGGTCATTGCTGGAGGTGATGGGATGCACGCTCCTCGTGGCCATGCTAGCCTCGAAGAGTGGTTCCATACACTTAGTATGGAGCTGACTACGGTCCAACCAACGCCTCGTGTTTGCTTGATTCCAAAATACATCATGCTTGTGTTTGCCTGTGAAGGAGTGTGGGCCGGCTCCGTTGATGAAACGTAGCTCCCATCCACATGCCTTCCGGTCTTATTCCTTCGGGTTTACACTGGAAATGGAGTGTGTGGTTGGAGGTGTGGGTGGTGCAGCGCAAGCCTCCCATGGTCCCTCTGTAGGCGCAGGCGTCCTGTGGCTGGTCACAGTGACAGGTAAATCCGAAACCGGATGCCGCCAACTATATATAACAGTGGAAGAAATGGAGATGAAGATAAGTAAAAAAGCATGAGAATTAAAGGAAAGTGAAGATATACCAAAAGTAGAACGGCAGGTTTTGGTTCGGTTACCGCGTGCCGATTTCTACCATTTTTGTCACTTTCTAGGTTCGATGGACTAAACAAGTGAACGAATACAATTCCAAACACAATTCTTCCAGTGATTCCAGTTACGGGCCGTGTCTGCAAGCGTGTTAAGCTACTGGCACTCCTTATTCTTGGGTCCCACCTAGGAACACGCAGGGGTCCAACGACGATTCGGAAGGAGTTGTATACCGTGTGGATTGTCATCATGACGATCGCGCGCCCGCGCGGCAGAAGCCCTAGGCCACAAGTTTGGAAACCTAGAGCTCTCGACAGGACACCCTCGAGTGCGAAGTTGAATAGAAACGGGGACATATAGGGGCCTAGTCGCAAACCGCTACTGACGGCAAAAGGTGAGGAAAGATGGCCGTAGGATGGCGGTATAGTTTACTGGCAGCCGGTTCTACAGCAAGCAACGTCACAAAGCGAGTCGGTCAACCGAGTCCAATGCAGCCAGTACGTGTATGTATGCGACAATTGTGGGCCTGTGGCAAACGTGGTCATGTTCGAGGAGTTGGAGGTGTGTATGGAGTTGATTCCCGTATCCACGGCCGGGACGGAAACCAGCTTATTCTTGGTGGTAGTATGGTTCACGTGTTTGGGATACTCAACGAAGAATGGGTGCAAACAGTCTGGAGGCAACAGATGATTGTCACATATGCTAGCGCCTTGCTAGAAAAGCGAGAAAATAACTGATTCGCCCCATGAGGAAGGCACATGCTCTTCTTACCATCTTCTTGCGAACAACGATGTCCGCTGGTTAACGATTGCCCCACCACTGTACCTGAATAACCGGAAGAATTCCGTCTGAGCCGACAGCCTAGAATCGCTACAAGCGCCGAATCTCAGGGTAGAATTATACTTCGCTGGGTAGAGCCAGCGGGACGAGCCAGGGTAAAGAACAAGGTGTGATGCGTGCACTGACGGACTGTGGAGACCAGTTGAATTGCGAGGAAAAGTGCTTAGCCCAGCGGTGCAACCGCTTCTGTTGGTTGGTGCTCCGCCTTACCTCACTGACACCACGCTTCCTGAGGCTAGTGGACAGAATGACCTGGAAAAGCTTGCGAGTGTTGCAAGAGGGCAGCGGTCTCCATCTTCAGAGCGCGCTCAGACCACCAAGAGTCTCGACCCTTGCGTAGGCTTTGCGTGAGCTGCCGGTTGGAAAAGCGGCGCAGTCCATTACAAATTTATTCTGCCGGGATATCTCTGCGGCGGTCGAATGGTACCAGAAAGCGAGCAAAGATTCAAGTCTCTAAGGGGCGTCAGGCTGGGCCTAAGATTGCCTACAAGTGATCATCGCCTTCTGCAGACAAGTCAAGTGTTGCTCAATGTCTTACGGTGGATTGCCACTGAATGCGCGTGTTAGTGAAGTCTGATGACTGAATTGGGACGAGGAAGCGGTTAATATGTTCACACCAATCTTGAGGTATTTCGTTTTTGTAGACCCCAAAACACAAGCAGATTTTCGCGAAGACCAGTGCATGATCCGAGTCCATGAAAGTGGACCATAAACAGCTGCGGTCTCGTACGACGCTACGCCATCTGAAGATAACTGCAATGTGATCAATTCGAGACAATGGTAGTGGGATAAAATGATGCAGGTGGAAGATAAATCAGGCCAAACGAAACACAACTAGAGTGAACTGCAATACGGACCCGGACCTGGATAAGATCGTTAACAGAAAGCTAATTGTCTTTAAGAGCAAAGATGACCAGCATCGGAATGAAAAGCGTGGCCAGTTTAGTAAAGGATTCGTTGCGACTCGAACAAATGAACCCGTAGAAGGCTTTCCAAAATAGCGGAACAATCGAATCGAGACGACATGATACAGTGAGGAGATTAGTTGATGAATTACAAACAAGCCATTAATGCATTGTAACACTCACAAGATGTTTGGACATATTAGCCAGATCCCTGTGAATGACGGAGAATTTGCATAAACTCGCAGCCATGTCTGTGCCGTTCAGTTCATCGCCTTCGAGAGCGACTTGACTAAGTTTTTCCAGGAAATCGCAAAATGCAATGACGTTGTCGGCGTATCCTGTGGGACAAGAAGTCATCGCGGTTTACGCAAAAGTTACCGATTCCAGATGATATGATGGATTTTACTAATTTCTTCGCTTTCAAGAGAACGTTCCGGTCATTCTCAACACCCTGTGATGAAAAAAAGAAGTGGAACAGGTAAAAGCATGGAGTGAAGTACACATGATGCACCATTGAATTCACACTAGCAGAAAGCTTGGGAAATAACGAACAAGGTACAGATCAAGACGCTAAATTTGCAAGAGGGGAATAGTAAATGAGGCAGATAAGTCGTAGAAATATATTTTTCCATTATAAACTTTGGCAGAAATTCCATTGACCAATTTATTGTGCACAATGTTTCCTATGACTAACCCGAGAAAGGAGACATTTGACAGGTTATTGCAAAATTAGCTGCGCCAAGTCAATAGGTACAAATCCACTTTTCGTCCAATTATCTGCTGTAAGTGTTATAAACACATTGTCCAATGTCGTTTACCACCATGAACTTTCGGTTGTCGTTTTTTGAAATTTAGCCCGATTTACGTCTATTGCACATAAGTCAAACAGTGGACAGCGTTACAGCAACAAATTGACAACAGCCGCAGGTATAGAAAAAAGCATAAGCTTCTTAGATTTGACCATATCGTATTTATGAACAGCACAACATATTGATGGGCTGTCCATAAAGTGTATTAACAACCGTCTATCAATTCACCCGTCAAAGGTACGCTTATTCCCTACGGTTCAAACAACTCATTGAGGTACGAGGGTCCCAGATAGCAGTGTCACGGCCGCGAGAACACTAGGCGAAAAAACCGCCTCAAATGTGTAGTTATGTGAAACTCTAGGTACATGCCGCAAGTTGAAAAAGAGCAGCGCAAAACCCGATAGTGGATAAGATAAGTAAACCCTAATTCCGAAAAACTGGAGGACAAATGAGCAAATTTTCCTCTTAGAACGCATTTTAATTGACTGCTGCTGTACAAAAGTTTGATCACTCTTGCAGATCAACTTCATTGAATGATATTCTTGCACAAGAAGAATAAAACAGAATACAGTAAAGAAAGCAGCCATATTAAATGAATTTGGCAAGATAGAAAATGACACGGTTCAGTCGGCCCGTAGGCTAAAGGCCATGAGCTTGTCTAGTAACTTAACGGCGCGGGTTCGGGCCTGCGTAGGGACAGGGCGACCCTCGCAGTATAGTTATCCCACGTGTGATCGGTGGTGGTCGCGAGGCAACGAATCGTCGGTATTGCGTACTGGCGTATTGATGATGCCTTTGATACAGTTCAGCCAATGTTACCAAACGCATGCAAAAAATGCAGCCATACTTGTATACTTGAGGCACTGTCCAACGCCAAGCGAATCGTGCTTATGATCTAAACGAAAAAGTACTCGATATTAGTGAGCACTAGCAACGAATCGCTGATGGAAGGGAGTAACAAAACGATTAGATAAATGGAATTGTCAGCAAAACGTAGAATGTATTATTGGATTTTTAGTCGCCTTCCATTCGGCCGTAACAAAGTATTTTTCACTGTATTAGAAAGGCAGGAAACATTCAGGTTGGCTAGACTTAGACGGGAGATGGACCAGGTTTCTCGACCCATCTTTCGCTCATGGAAATGACCGTAAAGCGGTGGGAGCTTGAGCGTGGATTATGAGCACATTTTAAAGAAATAAGGAGGCACCCTCACTCTAAGTCAAAACCTGGAAAGGCAGAATACTGTGTTGGGCTGTCCTCTAGCCATAGGTAGACCTGACATGAGTGACTCTGTAGGTATAAATAAGCACTAGGCAACAAAGCTAAATGTATCGTCTAAGTATGTAAACCACTTTACCGCAGAGAAGTGAAGTCACACTGCGAAGAAAACTGAAGTACGGTGTAATACAGACTCTCGTTAAATTGCACCTGTGTATCTCGGAGTAACAAAGGACTCTTTGACGTAAAGCTTACGATGAGATTGTGGATATTTCATAGACACCAGTACTCAAGGTGGTATGAGACTGTTGGACCATCTAATCCTGAAGAAAATTCTAGAATCCAACGATTAACGGTGCCGGTAGTTCACTGAATATTTGAAGTGTCTACCAACTAAGCGGTATCAAAAATGACCGCATCGTAGATCTCAGCATGGTTAGGTTACAATAGTTAACTTCGCTGAATGACACAGTTTTCGAAACGTTATGATCAGTAAAACAACGCGCAATTCTTTCCGTTGGCGTAGTTATTCGTTGCTCTGAAAAACCGTTTCCATTTGACTTCCTATTGATTAGTTCAGTGTGACAGTTACGCCACCGATCCCTCTTTCTGTCTTTTTATCCGTTGTACTTTTTAACTTACCGACCTATACCATTTCCGGTTTGGTGGTTGTCAGTTACCAGGTTGTCCCCATAGTACTTTTCCTGATTTTCCCTCGGCGTTTGGAGCTGGTGCGAAGCATGTGATCCGAGCATCACCCCGGTGATTCCGATCAGTAAGTTGTCTGGCTAAGGAGGTTTACTCTCCTCGACTATGTCTGCCGATGTTGATCTGAAGTAAACGATGCAAGCCCAGAGATACCACTTTGGGGTCAAGTTTATCCTCCGTAGTATCACCGTTAGTGGATCAAGTCGCAAAAATCACAGCTGATTACCGGTATGACCTGCAAGCTGGTGTTATGTTCGAACCATTGTACAAGCTGTAGGATCTCTAGGTTGAATTGGCTAACCGAGATGACGAGACCAAAGTCAGTCTACTTCTCCGGAAATCAGGCCTAGAGGAACATGCCCGTTACCCAAACTTAATTCTCCTTGCCGAACTGAGGTCACGCAGCCTTAACAATACGGTGCATATTTTGATGTCGAGTTTCCGAGACCCCTTGTCCTTATATAATACGCACTCCCAGCGCATTCAAATAGTCAAGCGAGACGCCGACGACTCCGTCACCTACGATGGCCTAGACAATCTTGAATGAGGTCGTTTCAAGCTAGGATCCGTTACCGATGATCGCTTACGATGTTCGATTTTTGTATGTGAACTTCAGTCGATTCGGAAGCCGACATCGCAATGGCACAATTGATGCGCTGATGCGAAAGAAAGGTATCGGCAGTACGTCGATGCACAGTACCGACGCTTCGCTGCCGCGTAGCTACCAATAGCTGCACGTGGAGTAAGGATATTGCGAGGGTCACCCGGTCCCTTCCCTACCTAGGCTCAAACTCGAGCTCTCGGATTACAAGACAGCCTTTGATCCATAAGGCAACGGGCCGAACACGAATGCGAGCGATTACTCAATCTGAAGTACGATTCTGATATGATACAGCAAATTGACAGGAAGCCTGGTTCTGCTCCCATGGTTGCAGCTGCACGAGCTAAGCAAACTTCACTATTGCAATGAGCCACTGCTAGTCATCCCAATCGGAAGGAACCCCATATGCATGTTGTTACTGTGGTTCCTGCCACTACGACAGATCCTGCCAGTTTAGACAGCACTGTTGCCAGAGGTGCCCCTCAGCTGAACATAAAGGTCTCTGATAATCTCCACTACCTATTAAGTACAGACCAGCTTTAGTTTTTAAGTCTCGTAAACGGCAGACTTACAAGACGATCGGAGGATCATTCTGTCCATTCGCTACCTTCCAATTTTATGGGGTCCACAACCGGAAGTACGCATAGAGCGTCGGTTGTGCGCTATATATAAGATTCGCAGCTAAACGGTCAATCAAAAGCGATTAGGAGAACACGCGAAAATAAACTAGGAAAGACTTATTGAGAAGTCGCTAAAGTAGCAAAAGTTAAAAATGAGGTACCAGAAGAGAGCTAGTAAGAGAGGAAGGAAGAGGGTGTTGAGTGCAAAGACCGTTCACGTCTGAGCGAAAGCGGCGGATGCGTGCGTGTGTGTCCCAAGCAAACGTAAGCAGCATTCAAACAAACAAACTGTTTACTTCCTCAATACATAAGAAAACTACAATTTTGTATTCTGGGATAATTTAGACAGTCAAAGGGGGGAACCTCCAGATCACAGCACATGCTTTCGTTCACATCAGTGGACATCCAGTTTGCCTGCAGCTTGATAGTCTCTGGCATCGCACACATACAAAAAAGGCACTGGCGCTCGCTAGCGATCTAGCAGAGCAGCTAGTAGCGCTTGTGGTGGCTCAGCGCAGTTGGCTGGACGGTTACACTGCTCAGCGTCTTTCTGCGGAGCCATTAGCTGTCCTCAACAAAATCGGACGTGACTGGTTTGAACCATTTGGTCTAATGGACTTGCCAATTCGCTCCGGCCAGTAGTATTAAGGTTTACAAACCTGCTTTGTAATCTGAGGGCGCGGGTTAGAGCCCGCGCAGTGACTGGGCGATCCACGCAGTATCCTTAGCTCTCGTGCAACTGGTGGTCGTCGCGCGGCAGGGAAGCGTCGGTACCACGTACCGGCGTACTGCTGATACCTCCCTCTCTCCGTCTTTGCTCCATCCAACTTAGTGCAGTTCCACGCTGTACTCTCGGACCTGACACGTAATACATATGCCATCATCATCATTATCATTTTACTGGTAAACTAGATGTAGAAAACCAACTGACATCTTTGAGTTTGAATTGACCAGACCTTCACTGTAGGTCAATTGCTGGAGTACCGCCACTCATATCTCCGGTGATGTATGACAGGAATACTCGCGGTTATCATACAGTTAAATTTTAAATTGACCAAGTCATGGATACCGCGTCCACTGGACGCCTTTAAGAGTGTGGAGTTGCTTTCAAGTGAGCGAGTTTTCGACTAGGAGTAAGCCCACGACATAGCCTTGATCTGTGACAGCTAACAGGCGTGGACAGATTAGAAATGGCTGGCAGCTGTTTCGCGCTGCGGTGTGCACTCTCCAAGTGCAAAAGTTCCCTATAAAATTGATAGGGGCCACCACTGGGCTGACCATTAGTGAAGATCAGCTAGAAGACGTTCAGAATTTTCATTATTTAGGCAGTTATATCATCGCCCGTGGAGTAGGACGTCACAAACCGCATAGCGAAAACCCGAGGCACTCTTGATAGCATTCGCCACCTGTGGCGGCGCGACATCAATCTTGCCCGGAAGCGTACAGTCTGTAATTAAAGATACCTGGGGCAGCATGAACTTATCATACTAAGGATTT